TCTCCCCAAATACGCCACTGACTCTGAGGGTGAATGATAAAATATTTATCCCGGCAACTTTCAAAATAATCACGAAAGACTAAAGAAAATAATCAAATTCAAAAAACGTTTAAGACTATTAGATAAAAAATTAGAAATTTACTATAGTTTGGAATACATCTAAAAATATTTTACTAAACCACATGTACATTAATTGCATTGATAAGTGGCGTTTAAATATAATAATTTATTGTACGGAATATTGGTTAAATTTGATTTAAAACCGTTGTTAAGCACCCCCTAAAAACACTTATAATATTGCATTAATGATATTATTGAGAGAGAGATATTATTATTGAGTAATAATTATTTTTCGATAGAGTTCTTTAAGTACAACGTGTGCTAAACAATTAGTTAAATTTTCACAGAGTCCATACCAAATTATCTTGATATTATATAGGTATGTACAAAATATAACTATAAGTTTTTTTTTTTTGGAAAATCTATGTTTTTTTTGCAGAGAGAACCAATACAACCCTCAATTGGTCACAGTCGAAAATATTACCGAATCATACTATGTCAAGTCTCTCCCAAATAAGTTCATCTTACATGGTTTCAACAGTAATATGATGCTAGACATACTTCAATCCATAAAAGACGGTAAATGTTTTGTTTCTCATCACGTATTGTTTTTCGATATTTATGTAGATTGTAACAAACCATACTAATATTGTAACATTAACATATGCTCTAAATTTACGAAAAATTGATTTAAAAGTTTTACATCAATTTTATTATAATAATAACAATCAAACCACACACCGTTGTGTACCATATAATACATTTCAAAATTAAAACGTGTATTGGCTTAGTGTGATCCAATGTGGTTTAGTCTAGAAACGTGTTAAGAATTTTTGAAAACGATCGGAGAAAACACCATCTTATTACTTAAATATTATTTTACAATATCTGYAGAGCACAATGTTCTTACAATATAGATGTATTTATATAAAAAATATATCACACGCAATTTACTATATAAAAAAGTATACCCGAAATATTTTTGGTGCAATTTTCAATTTTCTTCCTTTGTCTTTTTTTACCTTAGACCGTTGYTATACCAATAAGTTTGAAAATCCGCACAAACCACTAGGTTATTGTATACATTCTACGCTCATATAAAAGTCAGCAGACATTACATTGTACCAAAACAGTTATTATCTCGTACTAAAAACGGATACAACCTATTTTTTTTTAATCTCTTATGGCTTCAACAATGACTATGGTTATAACTTATMAGCCAACTTTTTCTAAAATTGAATCCTAGTCATAAACAAATCAYAAATCCAATAACTATTTGTTTTACGATTTTAGACTTTTTTTTAATATGAATAGAAATTTAGAGACTGCTTCTGTGTTTTTTTGTTGAGTTCATGAAGCTGTATGGCTTGATTATTGAGTATATATTATTCGATTTAAAATATCTTCTTGGTATTTKATCACATTGTGACTGATAGCAATGCATTTTTGAGCCGAATATTTGATGATAAGGTAGTGGTTGGTGAAGTGCATGTATTCTATTCTAACTGGGCTAGTTGATAGTCATTACTTATTCAGATTATTTTCTTGCTTTTTCATGACAATGAAATACTCAAAAATTTTAACGGTAATCTTTATATTTTTCTTAATTATTGTGMTTTTTAGTGTCATGTTGAATCGGACATTAGAGTGAACGAATTCACATGRATGTTATTTGGTTATTAATGGTCCAAACCAGTTTTTGAATGTATCATACTCTTTTATTTTTGGGATAGGGATTCTTAATTAGTTGTATAGCACTC